CCAGTTGGACAGTGGGAAAGGAAATCAAAAAATAAGATCGAATGGCGTTTAACTCTCTCGTCCCTAACTTCAATCCGATGAAGAAAAAGGACAATTATTATTATTATTATTATTATTATAAATAAGCTGTTCATCTTTAAAAAAATATAAAAGCTTTCTCATTCAAATTAAATATGTGGAGAGACATAAAAGAGTTAAATCGTTTAAACTTTGATTGTATGATTCATCAAAGAAGGAAGAAAACAGTAAAATGATAACTGATTGATTTGCAATAAATTATTATATTATGGATGCAGAAAAACTTGAAACGATCAGCTGTTAGATGAGTTATTAGCATTGACATGGTCGACTAGACATACATTATTATCATTCTGAGTCACTTGTAAGTATCTCCGTTACATATGGTGAAAAATCCATTGGATGGTAGTAGTGCTTTCTCTGCCCTGGACGGAAATGATGCTAGGAAATGGTAAGAAAAATAATATTTATTTATGAATCAATAGAGCTTCTTTATAAATACTTTTCTTCTCATTTTCTAAACTAACAATAATTTGACAACATTATCAATACTATAATGTCCATCTTCATCTTGTGGTAAGCATCGTTCGATTTTATCAATATCGCCTTGAGATATACCTACTTCTTTCAAAACTTTTTCTAGAGCATTTGGTGTAAAAAACCCAATATTATCTAAATCAACAATTCTTAAAGCTTCACGTAAATCGCGTTCATCTTGAGTTAATTCACGCTCTATATAGCGTTTCTTTTTTCTCGTGGTTAACGCCGTCTTTTTTTCCTGTTGTTGACGTATTCCTATTCGACTTTGTTTACGTGTAGAAGCTGATTGGGATTTTTGACCTTTAGCTCGTTGATGAGTGGCCGAATTACCATGGACGAGAGTCGGCTCTTCAGATTCAACAACGAGTTCCAAATTCGGTGTAGAGTTGAGCGTAGCTTTAAAACCTAGGTGATGAAAAACGGTATTCCACTAATTTAGAAAAACGTCTAGAACTTCATATTATATCACTACTCTTTGCATTTTCAACCAAATGTTAGCTTTCATAGATTTTTTTCGAGTGTTTCCAGAATGCTTCAGTAAAATAGCTACTATTTGAAGCACACGTAAGATGCATATTTTTTTCACTCGCCTAATTTTTGACGATTTGTTGCATAGTAACTTTTAATCATGGATGCAACAGATGTAAAATCGATCACTGCTTCCTGTCCTTGTTCTTTGATCGACTGTTGCTTTGGAACGTAAATTGATGATGAAGCTGTGTTAGTGATTGGAGCAGCCATTTGAGGAAAATCATAGTGATAATAACGTAAATGAAGTGAGTCATCCGTTGAATATGGCAGCGGATTTATCGTGGAAGTGGACAAAGCACGAGATATGTTAAATTGACCATAAGCAATAGGGTTCATAGGCTAAAAGTAATCAACACTGTTATTAATAAAGATATAGGTGTGTGAGAGTTTCTAGTATTGCTTACTTCTATTAATGATGAATCATCTGTATGTGCAATTTGTTTTTCATTTACTACCCATTTTCCTGTTGTACCATCTCGACTAATTGGTCGTAATAAATGTTCTTCGCTACCGCTGCTAATTCTTTCTATTACCGTTCTACGATTATTATCTAATAGTATTGATAATGTCTGTTGAGACAATGATTTGTCTACTTTCGATTTTTTATGATGTTTTCTGTTCTTGTGTTTTCTCGATAGTTTATTTCGAATAGATGTAAATAACCACGGTGCATTGAAATTATTTGCGGACAATAGCTGCATCATTGTAATTGATGGTGGATCAGGTAATTTTTTGTAATAGGAAGATGGTGAAGATGTGACAGATGTTAGCGCTTGATCATCGCGATATGTAGATGCTAAATGATGCCATGTCGTAGTGCATTTTGATGTCGATGTTATATCATCTTTGAGTATCGATTCTGTGCCAGATGTGAATGAGAGTAAATCAACATCATTTTCAGAATGAGCCATTTACTGATGTTTTATGAGAAGTGAACACACAAAAAAACGGAAAAAAAAATTCGATTTACTAGAAAAAGAATTCCATTACATGTAATAAAATTCTAAAAACATTTTGATTAGAAAATCAAATTGTAGAGTTACCAAGCAATACTTGGCGCAGGCTGAGGATAAAAATTGATATCTTGTCTAAATTGTTTTCTCCGTATAATAGTCGACACTTACGGTAAGATTTTGAATAAAGATCATCTTCAGTTTTAAGCTAGAATAAATTAGCCAATTTCTACCATTTTGAATTTTTTGTAATGAATTTAGTTATACACTTATCCGCGACTCTGCTGAAGCTTAATAACGGTTTGGTCTTTGATGAACGCAATCATTAATATAGAGTGATTGAGATAACAGGTTATCTCATATTAGCGCTTTCAAGAGATCTCATACTACACGTGAAGCATAATCAATGAATCGGGAAAGACTCATTTTGTAGAAGACACTCTGGTCTATCGATTCGTACAACACTTGCATTCTCGTTTCTTGAATGATGAGCTTATTTTTTCAAAAATCTCTTAGAAAAAGTCCATCTTTTACGATGGAGTTTAAAAGAGAAGATTTTCAAACTTATTTTTACAAAAGGATTTGTGTAAGTCCTTCACTATCTGTTATTTGCTATATTACAAAATTCTTAAATATCCATACCGACTGAAAGTTCAAAAAATGTTTGACTTTCATGAAGAAGTTTCTCTAATTATCGAACAATAATGAAACTTATTGATTTTAAGACTTGAAAATTTTACCGGTTTTAATCTCATCAATGTACATATTAGGTAAAAAATCCCAATCTCGAGCACTTATCGTTCTTGCGGTAGACGCTCTAGTAGTAGAGTTTAATAATTGGTGAATCGTGCTGAAAAATTGTGTTCGATAAAACGCGATTTTTTCTTAGTTTTAAAAATGAATGTGTGGCTGCGTTTTTGTCCGATATCGTGTGAACATATGAGAAAGATACTTGTACGAACAATGAATATGTTAATTCTATACATGTAATTAGCTTTAGTCCGAAGAAGGTGATATGAGTCACGCATCGAAAGGTCACTTAATAAATAAATGATTGTTAGTTAAAAATGATCTTAACAATATATACGAGTCATTTGCAACTTTATTGTACAATTGAGTTTTTGTCGTATTTTTAAAATTACTCCAGTTTCTGAAAACGGATTTCGAAATT